TCATCTGCAAAATGGGGATAATTATAGAACCTACAGAGAATCACATAAAAATGCTTAGAACCGTATTTGGCACTCCAAACACGTTAGCAATGACCACTTTCAATGTCTTCCACCCAAGTACCTTGAAGAGTAGAATATTTGTGAGACCTGGGACAATACCCCAAAGTAGCCTGTATTTGCTTGAAATTTCTTTTGGGCATTCATGTTAAATATTTCTGCAAGTTTTGCACTCCCCTCCATTCATAGAACTTATTCGTTGAGTTTGTGTTAATATCTGGCTATTTCTTCTGCAAAAATATTTAAGAAAAAGGTATAGTCTAGAAAGAAAGATAATTCTATGTGATAGCCTTGGCACAGAGCGGAGCCTCTCAGTGACACAGTGCTGAAGGTTGAGGTGCACAGTCCCAGCAGGCTTTGCTTGCGCCTAAGACACAGAAGATTGAAGCCCAGACCAGCACCATAAAGTGTGCCTCACTGATGCGTTCTGTGTGGGGCCAATGAAGCCTCTATACCCTCCCTTACTGACCCTCCCTACACTGAGATTCACAACCTCAACCCCTCTTTCCTCATTTGGGAGAGCTGGCCCCTTGGTGGATGTGTGGAATGTAAGCAATGTGAGCATGGAGATAAAAATCTTGGCTTGTATTTCCTGGGCTATGATCATCAATAAAAGGGCAGAAGAGAGCTATAATCTAATGCACTATATTACTGTAATTAGAGCTTCATGCATAGAGCTCTCTCCCACCCTCCCTCCAAAATAATGAAACCGTTTAAAATAAATAGTTGTGACTTTATTCTCCATCATGTGGTGTTCAGTGATTGGGTAATTATGGTAACAGCATACAGTTAGTGGATGTTGAGTTCAGAATGTAAGAAAAAAGGTTTGGGGGGAAAACACACACACAAGGGATAGAAGTATAGAACTGTAGCACTGTGGAGCTGGGAGGCATCCTAGCAATTGTGTACCCTACACCCCCACTCACAAGAGAAGAAACAAAAGAGACTCAGAGACTGCAAATGTGAGAAGCTTAGGCAGAGGTGGAGTTAGAATTAAAACCCAGCTTCCTCTCTCTTGTTCAATATTTGTTTCAACCCACCTGTTGTCTCTGGGAAACCACATAAGAATATTCTAGAAAGCTTTCCACATGGCAAGTAGGCTTTGCCCCCACACCTGCTGAGGTAGAAGACAACATTTCTGTGACTTAAGCTGTTGTCTGTCCTTTCATTGTCTGTGGACTCTGAAAAGTCATGGCCACCGAATGTCAACAGCAACCAGCCCTGAACGTTTGAAACATTTTTTGTATTATCCATTTTCTTCCTTTGATGTAGCAGAGAGGAAAAATCAGCAAGTGCACAAACTAAGACTTTGTTTAACTTCCTCTTGATGAGGCTAATTGTTTATTTTCAGTTAGATTTTATTTCTGTTATTACATTGGGAACATCAGATAAATAGTCAACTTTCTCATAAGAATGTTTACATTTCTTAGTCCTGTGCTACATGTAAGAAATTCAGGAAAAGTCAATGCTTTTTGTAATGAAGGCGCAGGGATTTTCCCCCAAAAAACAAGCTAAGGGTTTGCTTGGAACAAAAAGGAAATGGACTCCAGCCTGCAGATGTGTAATGGGTCCAGAGGGACACAAACATGCACCATTTTCCCCCTTGATGTGTTGGACATAAACACATAGCCAAGTGCCCCACATGCCCTTCCCTCTCCTCTTCTCCTCCTTCTTGTAGAAAAGGAGAGACTGATGTAGCCAGAGGGAAGGCATAAGCTCATCCCTGCCACTAATCGCCACTGACTCTGTCATTTGCTACTCAACCCCAGAAAAGCCACACCTAGGGCCTGGGGTAAGGGGTGTTCCTCCTTCCTACCCTGTCCAGTCACCATCCAGCAACACATGTGCGCTGCCACTGCTAAGCCCAACCTGAACGATGTGGACATGGAAACTCCTTCTCTGCCAATGATGGGAATGCACGCCACCCTGGAAAGAACAGAGCCAGTCACCGGTGGTCACTGGGCAGGAAGCAGCAAGGCAGCTGGGAGACATCTCTAGAGAAGTAAGATTCATTCCACTACATCCACAGAGAGATACAGATGCTACTAAGAAGCAAATTTCTCATCAAAGATAATGTTCTCAGTGTCCTTTCTTGCTCCGATTCCAACCCTCCCTGAACCCTGAAATGTAGCTGGGGCTCATATGTCTTGATTAACAGAGTCATTCAGATGTCAGGGTGAGATTAGGAAGATGTCAAGATGGCCACTGAGACCAAGGACATAAACATGAGAAGACCCCTCTTTGTGGGCACCTCTGCCTTCTCCTTAGGGCCATCGGATGGTGCCACCAGCACGTGGCCCGGTATGGGAGGTGGGTGCACCAGGGGACATACTATGGCCATATGCATTTCCACAGTACTTTCCCAACACGAAGTGTTTTGTCAGTCAAAGTTCTGTCGCCTGCCTGGTGGTAGGGCAGCTGCCATTGTCTTCACTCACTCGTGAAGAATCTGAAGCCCTGGGAGGCTAGCACACGGAAAAGACTAGACTTATATGTGCTAAATTTCTGAAGGCTGCTCTGTTCCAGACACTCGACACAACCTTACCTAATTGGTTTTCTTATCTGTAAAATGGGTTTAAGAATGGCACCTCCCTCATACAGTGTCGTAAGGATTAAATAAAATAACATCACAGAAATGTTTAGCATGGTGCCTGACACACAGGGAGTCTTCAAATTAAGGGTTAGTGGGTCCCTATAACATCCTTATGAGTGTCTGTTATAATCTCCACCTTACAAATCAGGAGACTGAGGCACATTAAGGAAAATTACTCACTCAGTTAACCAGCATGGTAGGTGGCCTCGTGAGGCCTCAGATGCAGAACTGTATTACTCCAAAAGCTTTCCCCTCAAGAACACAATGACTCCAGAGCTTGGGTTGCCGGTTGCCAAGTTCTGTGCACTTTCCAAGACCTGTTCATCCCGATTTGAGACCATCTCCTATAGAAAGTGTTGTGACCTGGTTTGATAAGCAAACCAAAGCCTTCTGCCTCAGAAAATACATAACGGTTTGTCATTCACACAGACATCCAAGCATCATGTTCCATGAAGACTTTGACGGCATCAACAAAGAAGCCCTCACCAGAGTCCCCAGAGGGGCGAAGCACTTCTGAAGTAGAGTCAAGAGTCTGAGGCCAGTAATTAATATGAAAGTTGAAAGACTGTTCTCATCAGCATTTCTATGACTTCAAAAATTCTTTGTCTTTATAATTTCCAACTCAGTTCCTTTTTTGGATAAAATGTCAAGTAGATACAACAAAAAATTGAAAAAAAAAACACCAACCCTTTCTTATAGCTATGGCTCCTCACATGCGGTAGGAGTTCCACAAACGTACAATGTATGAATAAACTGATTATGAATCAATGCGTCTATTTTCTTGTGAATTGGCTCAAGGAGCCAGTTTTACAGGGGTTGACTAAAAACTACATCCCTGAGAGGTCACAAGTGTCCAGTAATGCTTTGCTAAACAGCCCATTGACTACATTTTAGACGCCTCTGACTCAAGGATGTCCCCCGCGAACATGGCCAGAGACTCATGGGTGTGCTAGAGCATCCAGCACTCACACTGCTTTGTACGCATTCAACCTGAGCTTGAGTGGGAGGCACCCACACTCCTGCCAGGACCCACAGCACGGGCAGAGAACACACCATCCTTGGGTGTTATATCCATGAGGCGCCATTGGCTGGGGACTGGCCAGTTCTGATCCCTTTCCACCTACTTGATGATTCTTCAAAAGAATCAACATATTAACAAGATCAACAGGCTGACAGCTCTGCAACATGACACACGCTTTGCCGGGAGCTCCATTACTGAGGAGTTCTTAACTGAAAAGAACTGCTCTCATTGGAACACCTGAGTCAGCGTCTTTGGCTCTGTGGTCTCGACAGGGAACGTTTCTCCTCCCTCCTTATCTGTAAAGTGGCGATGGGGATACCACTTAAACAGAACCCATGTGCACAGAAAAAGTTTGTGAGAGCACTTTGTAAACAACAGAGAGGTAAGCTGGCCAATCTCTAAAGATCATTACCACCAACAGAGGGGCAGAAGAAAGCTCACTGTGTGCAGCTGGATGGCCCATGGCTTGGAAAGAAAAATAGCTCATGATATATTCTCAACAGCTAGTAACTAGTAACTTCAGATTGCTTTTATGCACCCCACTCCCAGATATATTGAGCTGGACTTGCCCCAAAGTTAGTCATTTGCATCCCTGCCACCTTCACAGTTGTTTTGCCATAGACAGCTGCATCTCGCCTGTGTTATGATTTACCTCATATTTCTCTTCACATCGAAGTTAGATTAACTTTATTGCTGTACATTTTCATCTCGTTTTAAGTCAATAAATCACAGGTTTGACATGCTGGTAATACGTGCTTCTATGCTGCATACCATATATGGGGAGACACTGTATTAAGCAAAAGATCATTGCATTGCTTAATCCAGACAGGAGGAAAAGGGAGCCCACCGAAACCTTGTGTGAGTTGGCATAAGGAATGACTTGGATGTCCCCAAAGCTGAGCAAAAGAGCAGTCCTAACACACTGAAAAGCAACTTCGAACTCTAATCCATTATCTATCCACATATAATAAGGATTATTTACGTTCCTATAGCACTTTACAGTTTTAACAACATATTCATGACCATTTTACATGGGGTCCCGACCCCAAATGTGGCAGCTGGTGGGGTTGCCGATACCATCCTTTCACACAGAGGCTCAGGGATGTTAGGGGATTTGTATGAGATCACGTTGGAAATAAGGAACAGCACCAGTAATGTCTCTGTCTTCAGCACATTTCACTGTACCCTCCTCAGGGGGAACAATATTTTTACAAGGACTGCTTTTCCCTCTTTAGGCAGGACAACTCTCTCATGATAATTTTTTTTATCCATCTGATCTTCTACCTGCATATCCATTTATCCATCCATCTATCCATCTATCCACTAATTCATCCAGCCAGCCACCCATCTACCCACTTATCCATCCATCCATCCATCCATCCATCCATCCATCCATCCATCCATCACTGCTCCACCCATCCATTCTTCTATCTGCTCTTCCAAACATGTACCACATCTAGCCATCCATCCACTGATCCAGCCAACTACTTAACCACTTCCCCATCCATCCATCCATCCACTCAATATTTGGGGACCTTCTTTGTGCTTGTCACTCATTATGCAGAGCACTGGAACTACCAGTTTTTATTCTTATAAAATGAAGAGTGTTCATTGTGAACTGTGATGGCAATAAGAGTAACATCTGCATCAATTTCTTCTGATTTGAAAATCTACCACAGATTTTCCTTGATGGTAGCAAAACATAGTAATATGCTCTACTTCTTCCTGTCAAATGAAAGAAAATACTTGGGAGTGGGACAACAAAAGAAACAGGAAAAGACCTGGTTAATAAGAGTCCTCTCCTCCATAAGTACATTGAAAGTACAATAATTATGGTTATGTTGTTGGATCACTTTAGATGAAAAGGCACACTTCCAGTTACTTCACATGAGTATGAAGTCCAAATAATTAGAAATATATCCCTGATAGAGTCTTGGAACTTTCTGGAAGAACTAATTCAAGCATCTACGTATTTTCTCAGCTGCCATTCAGAGTCAAGACTCACTTATATTCATGATTGCACTCTATTTTGGAATTTTAATTCCTCCATTTCAGAGTTGAGGACAGCAAATCAATGATCAATGACGCAGGTGGCCTAACATATTGAGAGCCCATAAAGGGATGTGTCTCAAAGCAGATAAAAATAGAACTCCAAAAATCATGTAGAACAGAGTGAGACAAAATAGGAATCTATTATCAACTAGTATATAAAAGAAAGAAAAAAATCAACCCTGCAAAAAAATAAATAAAACACTGGAAATTTCCAAATAAAAAATAAAACAAAACTTGAACACTCCTGTTAAAATTTTTTGAATTTATCCCAAACAGCTGTAACTTCAATGAAATTGTTTTTGTCACTCTTTCCCGTCACCGATGACTTCCTTATCAATGAATGCAGTAGAGCAATGGTTCTCAAACCTCAGTTTATATCAGAATCACCTAGAAGGCTGGTTAAAACACAGCTGGCTGGGACCCACTCTCAGAGTTTCAGATTCAGTAGGTCCGGGGTGGAACTCCAGAATGTGTCGTTCTAGGGGTGACTGGGTGGCGCAGTCGGTTAAGCGTCTACGTGTGGCTCAGGTCATGATCCCAGGGTCCTGGGATTGAGCCCCACATCGGGCTCCCTGCTCCGCGGGAAGCCTGCTTCTCCCTCTCCCACTCCCCCTGCTTGTGTTCCTTCTCTTGCTGTATCTCTCTCTGTCAAATAAATAAATAAAATCTTTTTTTTAAAAAAGTGTCTTTTTAAATTCCTGGGTAATGCTGCTGCTGTGGTTAGTCTGGGGACCCCACTTTGAGAAGCACCACAACAGAACACCTCTAGTCCTTATCTTACTTTTCAGCAGTGTATGACACTGGGGACCATTCCCCAGACCTCTGAATGCCACACTTCTCTTGCTTTCCCAGCCATCTCTCCTCTTCTCCATGTTAGAATACTAGTGTTCCTTGGGATGCTATGCTAGACTTCTCTGTCCTTTCACTGAAATCTTCCTGAGCAACCTCGTTCACTCTGAAGCCTTTAGTTAACTACGTATATCTGGTAGACCCCGGGCTGCAGCTCCAGCCTGATACAATGTGAGCTTCACAAGGGCACAGCGCATTGTCTTGTTCACAGTGTCCAGAGAGTGTCTGGCATATAGAATGTGTCCCATAATTACCTGTTACGACTTCCTAGTAGATATTTCTACCTAAATGTCCCATTGGCTAGCTGGCAACTGACACTAAATGTATTTGGAAAGAAATACTTCAAAGAAGGGTATTATACAAACTAGATTCGCTCCCCAAATTTCCAGTGGTACCATCATCCACCCATTCTGTAAGATCTAAAAAATCAATGCGTCCTCCTTGAATCCTTGCACGTCAGACACCAAGTTGTGCTGATTTCACTTTCTAAATCTCTTTCAGGTCCATCCATTCCCCCGCACCATTCCCATTGCCACTGCCTCATCAAAGCCACCCTAGCCTCTCACGTAGATGCCGGTGACAGCCTCCCATCCAGTCCCTCCTATAATCTCATACTACATAGTCGGCTGAGAGATCGGATCTCATTCTGTGCACTTGTGACTAAAGCCTGTCCAGAGACTCTCCTTGCCCTTAGAGCAAAGCCCCACCCTCCTCATGGCCTTAGTCTTTCTGGCTGGGACCCTACGGCTTCTCCAGCTCTATCTCATGTGCTTCTCCCCAGCCCTGTACTTCCGTCCTCCCTGACTTATTTGTGTTCCTAGAACACTCCATGTGCTCTCATTTCTGAACCATGGCTCATGATATTCCTTCTACCTGGAAGAATCTTTCCTTTCCTTCCCCCTGCATGTGTTAGTTGACTACCTTCTACTCATTTCTCAGATCCCAACAGAAACATTCTCATCTTCCAAAAAGCCTTCGCTTCCCCTCTCATAAAAACAAAACAAAACATCCCCCAAAACTGGAATATGGCTTGCCTTGAGTTCCTATGACCTTTTGTATCTGCATAGACAGTATTACCCTTGCTTGTTTAATTATTGGCCTTATTTGCTCTCCAGGGGAAGGCTCACGTCTGTGTCGTGCTGGGCCCAGGCCCTGGACTTGGTCATATTTGCTGAAGGAATAAGCCAACCAGATTTAACAGGGAGAAACGTAAAAGAAATCAGTTGAGAGCAGTCAGAGGAGAGCAGTCAGAGGAGTACTATGTCTGGGATGGGCGGGGGTGAACACTCGAGGATGATGGAAATATTTTGTACTTTGTTCTGGGTGGCGGTAATATGAGGGTATACAAACATAAAAATTCATCAAGCTATACACTGAAGAGTGGTGCATTTTACATATGTAAAGCATACTTCAATAAAAGTAATGAATTATTTTTGAAATTAAATGATTTTTAAATTGTGAATTTAATTTATTAAATTTTAAGAATTTTAATAATTCATATGGGGATATAAAAATTCGTATGAATTAAAACAATTCATGTGGGATATAACACAAGAATTCAGTAACAACCCAAGGCACAGAAGTTCCTAAAGATGCTAATTATTCCCCAAAGATCCAGAACAGAAACATGGTGAGGTGCTTTGTTTGTTTGTTTTTGTTTTGTTTTGTTTTTTTAGAGAGGGGGAGAGAGAGGGGTGGGGAAGACCAGGGAGAAAGGGAGAGAGAGAATCCCAGGCAGGCTCCATGCCCAGTGCAGAGCCCCATGGGGGACTTGATCCCACAAGCCCCACATCATGACCTGAGCTGAAATCAAGAGTTGGTCACTTAACCCACTGAGCCACCCAGGCGCCCCTTCCTTAAGTCTGTTCTAAAAATGTAATTGCTTTAGATTGACTACACCTTACTTAAATTTGGGCCCCTAAAATATTTTTAGGGAAAGAGATGATTTCAAAGTCATTCTCCCCAGAATCACATCTACTCTTTAAAAACCCCATTTCACAGGGGCACCTGGGTGGTGCAGTCGGTTGAGTACCCAAATCTTGGTTTCTGCTCAGGTCATGCTCAGGGTGGTGATCTCAGGGTCATGAGATTGAGCCCCACATCAAGTTCCACATCGAGCCCCCAATTGGGTTCTGAGCTCAGCCTGGAGTCTGCTTAGGACTCTCTCTCTCTCCCTCTGATGTTCCCCACCTCCCTCTCTCTCTCAAATAAATAAATAAAACTTAAAAAAAATCCATTTCACAACTTAGAGAGGTTTGAGTTAATGATACATGATTATATTTCAACATTTGAGGTATCTTAATTTGGGCAATGACAACTGCAGCTCAACTGGGTCCACATTATTTTCAATATTATCACTTTTTCTCCGAGTAGGAACAGGACACATGGCAAACCATACCATGGGGTTCATTACCCTGTTTCAAAGGAACGTTGCCGTAGTACTGACAGTTCCAAGCATGTCAAGCCCTTTAGGATTGTCTAGTTGTCTTTCTTAGACTAGACCATAAAACATGGAAATTTCGAGATTCAACTTCTAACTCATAGGCAAAAATGCAGAGCGTTTAGGATCTTGTGTTCTGCAAGTTACTTTTCATAAGAAGATCTCTGTGCTTTGTCATGCTGGGCTTCCTAACAGCCCCTCCGGCTCGGCTGATCTGTGCTCTGACTGCTCAGCAGTCCTTTGGAGCAGGTAAATGCCAGTTTTGAAACACCAACAATTAAAACACTCTTCAGGTAGGGTGAAAAGCACCCAGGGGATGCAACATGTATCCAAAAATAATGACATCTACAGCCACTAAGCACTAAAAGAGCACTTTCTACACTTTAGACAAAAGTCATTGCCCTCAGTCCTCTGGGATGATTTTTCTTCAAACGTACCTGTTTAGCGTCTGTTCTTGGTATTTTAGTCAAAGTTTCATTTTCTTTATGCCTCTCTTTGCTACTGGTATTCTGACAGTCACAAATCAAAGGAGAGAAGAATTTAAAACTCTTGAATTTAGTGAAGATATTACTTTACCATCACGATCATCATTATTCCCAAGTGAGAGAAAAAAATTTTTTTTAATATACAAAACCCTTTCCAACACCAGAGTAGAAAAACTGAAAGCTTGCCAGCCATCGAAGGCTGCCTGTGGGCAAGGGAGCACCACCGTGGTCCTTTTCCTGATGGGAAAGCCGAGGTAGCTAACTGGCAAAGGAAAGAGGACCGAATGCCCCACCGCACAGGTACTTATTCCTAATTTGGGGCACTCTGTCGAGGTTTCAAAGTATCACCCAGGAAAAGGAAATACTCTGATAAAGTTGACGATACCCGGGGAAATGAGAGGGGAGGGGAGGTCGGGGGCCGCTGGGATGGGCGACGGGCAGAGATGGAGATGGTGATGGTGGTGACGGTGGTGGTGATGGTGATGGTAATGATGGTGACGCTCGCCGGCTCCTCTCCCGTTTCTCCTCCTCCGTTCCCGCGTGGCCTCTGCCCCGAGAAACACAGCCGCCAGGATTGGCACCCAAGCCGCACGTCCTCGGGCTCAAGGCTGCGGCGCCTGGCACCCCGGCACCCCGCCGCGCCCCCCGCGCCCCCCGCGCCCGCAGCGCTTCGTAGGGCGCGCACCGGCCCGGCTCCCCGCCCGTCCGACCCCGCAGCCCCTGGGAGCGCCCGCGCCCCCCGGCCCGCTCCCCGCCGAACCCCGGCAGCCCGGGCCGCGGTCACTTACGCCAGCGCTGGGCCCCGCCGCCCCGCGGTCCCGAGACAAAGGCTGCGCGGCCGCTGCGCCGCCGGCTGCTCCTCCAGACGCCGCTGCCGGGGACCCGGAGGAGGCGAGGGGGAGGGGACGGCGGGGAGGGGACGGCGGGGAGGGGCCCCCGGCTGCAGCGGCCCGGACCCCGCTCCTGCTCCCCCGCGGCCCGCCGCCCTCCGGGGCGCCGTCCTCCCCGGTCCTCCGCCCGAAAACCTCCCCCAAGGGACCGGGGTACCGCCCCTCGGGGGGGGGGGAGGAAGAGGAAGGGAGACGCGCGCGCGCGCCCGCGTGTCTGTGTGTGCGTGTGCGTGTGTGTGCGTGTGTGTTCCCTCTTCCCAATCATGATCCTCTCCATCCACCCCCGCGGCCCCGAGCCATCGCAGGAAAATGCCAGACTCTGCCTCACTTGTACAACTCTGGAGGCGCTCCCACGGACCCCCATGCCGTCCACGCACCTCTCCTCCTGACGTCCAACCATTTTATGAAGAGCAAAACTGAGACCTGGACGGTGAAGCGCCCAAAGACGCAAGGTGGGAGTAGAGAATGCCAGGACCTTGAACCCTTTCCGGGTGGGACCCACATCTCACCTGTTTTCCTTTCCCCCGCTTGGCGCCAATTGCTGGCCTCCAGGGGACCAGGCAGGCTGGAAGGTGGGCACCAGCGCAGGCGGCCCCCCCACCCCCACCCCATGTGCCTGCGGGGAGTGGGGAGGCTTCCCTTTCCAGGAGAAGTACCACTTTCACTTGGCTCAGTCATTTGCATCTTGTTAAGAATAGTGGCTTTGATTTATTTTTATTTTTCAAACTTTTCATTATGGAATTTTAAAAAAATCAAAAGTAGAATAGTATAAGGAAGCCCTAAGTGCTCAGCTCTGGCTTCAAAGATTGTAATATTTGCCATTCTTTCATTTCTTCCCCACTCTTCTCCATCCCAGAGGCTAAGGATTTTATTTATTTATTTTTTAAGATTTTATTTATTTATTCGAGACAGAGAGAATGAGAGAGAGAGAGCACATGAGAGGGGGGAGGGTCAGAGGCAGAAGCAGACTCCCTGCCGAGCAGGCAGCCCGATGCGGGACTCGATCCAGGGACTCCAGGATCATGACCTGAGCTGAAGGCAGTCGCTTAACCAACTGAGCCACCCAGGCGCCCGAGGCTAAGGATTTTAAAAGAAGACAATCACAATTTCATTACCAACCTTACCAAATTAAGAATAATTCCTTAATATCAGCTGACTGTGATTTGTTAACAGCTGATGGTTCCTTATTTATTGAGTAGTTATCACCAGGTCTGTGTTTAGCGCTTCTACCGAGGCTGCTCGGGTTTGGTGTGGGCCCTGGCTGTCTGCCCCTGAAGCTGGTGAGAGACAAGGGCTGTGCACACTGTCGCTGGCTTGCAGGGACTGATGGAGTGGCAGTTAGATAGCTCTGACCTGGCAAGGGCCAGATACTTCTTACTGTGTCCCAGACCCTGGACAATTTTGATTGCAGCCTATCCTTCCAGAAAAATGCACACCACAGAATTCTGATTGAAAGTCCAGGGGACTCAATTCATTTCTCACAGGCTGCCTGAATCTAACTGCAGGTTCCAAACTACAGAGCTGGGCTGACATGTCCCTTGCAGCCCCTTGGAGGCCCACAGATGGGATCCTGAGTCTTCTGCTGGGTTCCCCTCTTGTTTGCTGCGAGCTCTGGGGCCCGGGGACAGCACGGGAGTCACACTGGGGTATGGGGCCTTTCTCCCCTGGGAGGAGGCTCTGTGTTTAAGTCCTAAGCAAGTGTGGCCTGGAAGTGGATTCTCAGCTGTAATTCAGAAGAGCATCTTTCCGAGCCAAGATGTCCATCGACAGATGAATGGATAAAGAAGATGTGGTATATATATACAATGGAATATTATGCAGCCATCAAAAGGAATGAGATCTTGCCATTTGCAACGACGTGGATGGAACTGGAGGGTATTATGTTGAGTGAAATAAGTCAAACAGAGAAAGACATGTATCATATGATCTCACTGATATGAGGAATTCTTAATCGCAGGAAACAAACTGAGTGTTGTTGGAGTGGGGGGTGGGGTGGGAGGGATGGGGTGACTGGGTGATAGACACTGGGGAGGGTATGTGCTCTGGTAAGCGCTGTGAATTGTGCAAGACTGTTGAATCTCAGATCTGTACCTCTGAAACAAATAATGCAATATATGTTAAGAAAAAAAAAAAAAAGAAGAAGAAGGTAGCGGGAGGGGAAGAATGAAGCGGGGTAGACGGAGGGGTAGACAAACCATGAGAGACGATGGACTCTGAAAAACAAACAGGGTTCTAGAGGGGAGGGGGGTGGGAGGATGGGTTAGCCTGGTGATGGGTATTAAAGAGGGCACGTTCTGCATGGAGCACTGGGTGTTATGCACAAACAATGAATCATGGAACACTTCATCTAAAACTAATGTTGTAATGTATGGGGATTAACATAAGAATAAAAAAATTAAAAAAAAAAAAAAAAAAGAAGAGCATCTTTCCAGGATGGAGAGACCTGAGCTGTGCCTAGGGCCACTAAACTCTCAGCTCATCTACGCTCCCCAGTGGCGGGGCTGGAGCACACGCGGGGGGGTGGGGGGGCGTGGTTCTGGGGGACGTTAGGAGGTAGCACAGCCCGCAGTCAGGAAACTTGCTCTGGATTCTGCCTGGCCTTGAATCCAGTACCTCTTGCTAGCCTTGTGACCTTGGGCAAGTTACTTGACATCTCTGTGCCTCTTTTCTCACTGGGGACAAAACAGGGTTGCCGTTCAAACCTGCCTCGCTGGGCATTTAGGCACGTTCAGTGCCTAGTTCATAAAGGTTGAGAAGGTGCTCAGAGCATCCGTGCTGCTCGTGCCCGCTAAGTGGGAGAACCGGTGGGTGAAACCTGGGAGGACCTCTGCTGCTCCAGAGGATTCCCAGCCTCAGCTGAAGCAGACAGAAAGGGCCTGTGGCTGCTGTCTGTGGCAGTAGAAGCAGAGCATATCTGTGACAAAGTGGCTCTTCTCTCTTTGACCAAGGGCCGCTGGGAGGCACTGCAGATGCTCACTGGCAGGCCTCGGTGCAATTGCTAAATACTGTGGGTTTCCTTGTTGACGTGGCTCCCAGGAATGGTCTCTGAGATGCTGAAGGGATGAGTTCATTTTCTCTCCACCCACCCCAACCAGACTGGTCTTGGTCAGTGGAATTTGACATTCCCTCTCCTGCCTCCCCAAGCCTTCCCTCCCTCCCCTGTGAAGTCGCCCTGACAACCTCAAGCAGCGGGACATCTCCCCAGTCTGAGCTCCTGGGCCTGCCCTGCATTAGCGTTTCGTCCTGTCAGTTGCTGTGCGTGTCGCGTGGGCCCATCTAGAGTGGAAATGTGTTGAGAGGAGAGATTGTCATCAACTGTCTAGCATTGCCCATAACATCCTGTTCATTGACCAACCCAAAACTGGTGCAAAGAGTACTTCCTGTAATGTACACAGATTATTATTCTCCCAGGAGGGTTCAACCCAGGCCAGGATTTTCCATGTCCCGCAGCCAGCCCAGCAAACAGCAAGTAATTCTAACCTGCTCACCTGCCCGCCCTTCCCCAGGGCAGGGCTGGGCCTGTGGAGGAAGGGACAGGCCCTGGGGCTGGGGCGTCGCATTCACCCTGATTGTGACACTCTGATTCTGAATCTTCATCTCCTGGCTGCTCTGTAATCTCATCCCCGAGCTGGGAAGCGTACCCACCTCTCCTAGTGCGGCTCTGGATGAGAACCTACCTTTCTCTTCTCTCTGCACCTTCCCCTTTCTCCCTCTCCTCTCTCCCCCTTCCCTTCCCTTCCCTCATTTACACATCTCTTCTTTTCCTATCTCATAATGGATCATACTGATTTTTCGCCATACTTCGCCTGCATCAGTTAGGGTGGAGGTAGGTGAGTAGAATCAAGACTAAAGCTTTTGTGGAATGAGATGGACAAATGAAATGTAGTGTCTAGTTGTGCTGGGGGAGAACTGCCAAACTGTAGGTCTTCTTACAGGATGTAGAATGTTTTAGGGATACTCAGACTTTATGGGTCTTCTTGGGCATAAATTGCCAGAAGAGCTGTAGAGGTTAAGATGAAACCCAACAAAGAATATTATTAGCATCCATATGTTCTTTGTGGACAATCTGAAACTCAGTGCCAGCTCTAAGAAAAAGCTCTCTAAACTATTAAAATGACAAAGAACTTTAGTCCCGATAAAGAAATAGAGTTTGGTTTAGCTAAATGGAATGCCATTCAAATGTGAGGGACAGCTTGGGGTGATGAATGGATTCACAGCTATAAAGATGAACTTACAGAAGATCAGTAGAAGGGGAGATGTAGAATATCGGGGCTTTGAGCTGTTGATGAATGCTAAACTTATTGGCAGTGAGGATAAGCTCAGATAAAAGACATTCAGTCCAAATGGAGAGAAAAATACTTCAAAATAAGCCTAATGCTAGCAACTAAATTAAAGCAGTAAATATATCTGTGGTTCCAGCCCACTTGTTATGACAGAGACTACAGATCGTTATAATGAACAGTAGATTATTAACCACAAAGTGCCCTGTGCATCACAAGGAATTTGGGCCACTCACTCCCCACATCAAAGGAAATCCACTTGTCTCGACAAGAAAGCTTTCACACACTATTTGGAAACTAAGAAAATTGAGAACATCATACAGGATGGTCTATGTCTCCTCCCACCAGTCTATGTCCCGTTCCACCGAATCTGGATGGGCTTGGTTCTGCTCCGTCTTCCATCTATGGAGAAAGGTGCAAGAGTCCATATATATGATCTTGAGATCATAAAAGACATGCAGCTTCCATCTGGCTTGGTTGGAATACTTGCCCTCCAGTGCCCCCTCTTGGGATATGCCTCCTCAGAACTTCCAGATGATTCTAGTGTCTAGCCTTCAAGTTACCTCCAGCTGTTTGTCTTTCTAGCTGAGACCTCAGACATCATGGAGAAGAGACTGGTCATCCCCTCTGTGCCCTATCCAAGTTCCTGCCCAAAGAATCTGTGAGCATACTAAAATGGTTTTTTAATGCCACTAAGTTTGGGTATTTGTCATGCAGCAATAGTTAACAGGAATATTGAACAATAAACAAAAATATGCCAGATGTGGTGGACAGATTTTGCCTTCAAAAGGCTTACAGTCTTCGCAGAGATCTGCAGGATATAAGCTGAGCAAGAAGGTTGGAGTCTCATTGAATTCCGGGCTGTACTCTGCCCTTCCCAGCTCATGGAAAAGTGATCGTCTCTGTGCCCAGTGTCCCCACCTGTAAAATAAGGAGGTCATGAAGAGTGAACACACATGAGGCATTTAGAACATGATGAGTGGCCCATAAATGCCATCCATTGTTAAGGTCATCATGTACCAGGACATACTTACTCTGTGACATGAAGCTGAGAAAGGGCTCCTAAGCCTGATCATATCATCAGGTGATTTCTTTTTCAAGAAAAGTAGATTTGTGTAATGGATTTGATGAATAGGCTCCATGATTTTTAAAAAAGATTTTATTTATTTATTTCGGAGCAAGAGAGAGTGCACAAGCAGGGGGAAGGGCAGAGGGAGAGGGAGAAGCAGACTCC